GCATAGGAGAGAGAGAGGGAGAGGGAGAAATGCACGTAGTAGAGACAGAGGGAGAGGGAGAATTGCACATAGGAGAGAGAGAGAGGGAGAGGGAGAATTGTGCATTGGAGAAACAGTGGAAGATTGGGACAAGGCAGTTAAGAGCAGAGAGAATTCAAAGGATAAAAAAGACGAAAAGCTATGAAGCCGAAACACTGAAGGTGGTGCTTTACAACAAGGTAGGGAAACGAAAGTAACAAGCCGAAAAAAGAGGAACGAAAGTAAGAAGCATGGGAAGGGATACTGACAGGCCTACCTAACTCACTTCATATACCCATAAAGTGTCTAAATACGGACCGAAAGTCGAATCCTTATGCAATCAGATGAACAGATAATATAATTCTGTATTACGCGGGACTGGTCAGCTTAATGATGGGGTTTGAAATTTGAACCTAGGTCTCGCTTGATGCATGTTAGATGAGCTGCATAGCACAAACATAGCATGCATGAGGTTTGACGTGTCCCTGCATGCATGCTATAGCTTAGCACAAACATAGCATTGCTGGGGCTTGACCCTTAGTCCTCCCTTGATACATGTTAGCTAAGCTGAGCAGTGTTAGCACAAACATAGCATTGTCCCTGCATTCATGCTCATGTTAGCTTAGCAAAAACATAAACATAGCGCGGGTGGGGCTAGAACCTAAGTCTCCCTTGATCCATGTGAGCCAAGCTTAGCACAAACATAGCATTGTCCCTGCATTCATGCTAGTTTAGCACACACATAGCGCCAGTAGGGCTTGAACTTACCTGTCCCTTGCCCTCTATGTTTCACCCTCGCTGTCAGACGAAGTTTGCCGTTCATGCTAGTTTAGCACACACACAGTGCCAGCGGGCTTGAACTTACGTGTCCTTTGCCCTCTATGTCTCACCCTCGCTGTCAGACCAATGTTATCTGTTGCTGCAGCTTACTTGACAGCGAGCACTGAAGGAGATGAGGCAGGTTAATGACCTCAACTGGACAACAGTCACTTGCTACCTGTAATTGGAAGATAGAAAAGATAGGGAGGGGGTGATGCTCCCTGTGAAGAGGAGTAAGCATGGTCGTGAGAGAGACAAAGTAATGATTCTGGTGAAGAATAGCATCAAACCTCGCTGAGGGGGTCACCTCAAGCACGTCATTTCATTCGTAAGCACAGCTAAAGCACCGGCCGCACATAGCTTAAGCACTGATCCTATGCGAAACCTGACATGTTCCAAACAACCTGCACGCTTGAACTTCACCGAAGCTGCAAGTGCTGTCTGACCGTTTTTTGTATCCGACAGCATTGGTTTGTGCAGAGCACCCAAAATTCCAGGAGGCTGACAAATGCTTCACTTGGCCCCTCTGGGGATGGGTGGTTTAAAGAGATGAGAAAAACATGCCGTGCAGAAATGTCCTAGGTGGAGAAGGTAGGTAGGTATTGAAAGAGAGCGAAGATGGAAGGACGTGATACACTGTGAGGAGAACATGTTTTTTTTACTTGTATAAAAAAAAGGACCGTTTCCTAGGCTACCAAGGGTGGCGCGGGGCCACTTGCCCGGCCGTGCCAAAAAGAAATAAAAAAATAAAAAGATAAGAAATGTTTTTAAATATTATTTTTTATTTGAAATTTGGTAAAGAATTTCGATGTGATTTGAGGTAAAAGTAAAAGTTGTTGAGTATATTTTTCTGTGTAACATGGGTTTTTTTTTTTTTTTTTTTTTTTTTTTTTTTTTTGGCGGGGACCTTCCCTCGTGCTTGCACGTCGGGGCTGCCCGGGAGAACAGGGTGACCCGAGCGGCCTGGCTGGTAGCCTAGGCCATTTCTCGATTTATGTGTGTCATCCTTGCGCAGGGCCCATGCCAATCTTCCTTCTCTGTACCGCGCCAGTTTTAACAGATAATCCCGGAGGATTCTTCGTATTTTTTTTGAAGAACGAGAAGAGTAAAAAACGCTCTTACTAAGGACTACCTTCTTCACCCGAATACAACGTATGGTCATTATAGCTGTATTTGGGCTATCTTTCGGTCTAAATACAGCAATAATGACTGTACGTTGTATTTGGGTGAAGAAGGTAGATTTGAGGCTTGTGTTGGTAGTTACAGAAGACGTAAACGTTCTGGTGAAAAAAAAAAAGAGCTCAATGCTTGCAAACGTCCGCACGCAGAATAGATCCGAGGCTCGCAATGTGAGTCAGAGAAAATGTAAGCATTCCGACGAAAATAATGTCAAGGCTTGCAATGAGGATCACATCAAACCCGTCGTAGCATTCAAGCACAGCTTAAAGATATAGAGTGCCCTTTGGCCACATTCAGGCACACAGACTGAAGAGAGAGAAGAGCACGCCCTCGAGAAGGTTGCAGGTGCGACAAGGTACTATGCACTCCTCATCCATTGCGTTGCAGGACAGCTCTAAGAGAGGAGACAAACATGTCATAGAGGACAAGGCTCCTAGGTACTGCACACACTTAGTCTTCAGTGTCCATAGTCACCGTTTCAAGGAGCACAGCCATCGAATCCTTTCATCGCCCAGTGAACACAGTTGTCGAGGATTTGGGTTTTGTTCCCTTCGCACACATTCACAAATTTCACACATGCTTCCTGCAATACGTGGCTAGGTGTTTGGCGTCGTAGTAACAAGCAAATGTCAATCGGGGTGGGAAAACCACTGCTTATTGTGAAAAATGGGGTATAAAGCTCAAACAGGTGAAAAAATCACTCATGGGATCGATATGCAGTCAGGTCCATTTGCCGAATGACGAGGGTTCAATTCCCCTCTGACCGCAGATAGATAAGAAGAGACAGCTGGATGGGCCAATGTGTTGAGATGCGTGGTGCGCATTGCATGTTGCACAAGGGGAACAGAACATGCAGCTTGACTTGGCGTCGTTAATGGATCTGGGCGCACACAAGTGAGGGGGGGGCGGGATTGGTAACAGAGGAGGATTGGTCATGTTGAGATTGAAGTGGGAGGGTTCGATCAATCCCTTCCGGTGGAAAATTCAAAGGCAGCTTATTTGTTAATTGCAGGCCTTTGTGTCTTCTACATCGCTGTCTGTCAAATGTCATGCAATTGAGAGGGGACTGTTGGTTTTGGTGTGTGCATGTGGGTATTTTATGGGGATCTTTGAGGGCTTGCTTTGGTGTATACTTAGCCTCAGGTAGGTACCTGCTTACAGTAGGGCACTAGTGAACTCCAACTGCCATTGACTGTCTAGAGAAGCTTCCTTCTTCTGTCAAAGAGGGGCCAAGGTGCAATTCCTTGGATAGTTA